TTTGTAAATAACCCATAACACCTGTTTTTCTTTTCTGTTACTTGGCGAGTTAAATTTTAAATGTTTTATTGAGTCTTTAACATAAACTAAGATCGAAACTTTTCATTACTTTTTGTTGACAAATATTAACTTCCTGTGATACTGTTAGGCTCTGCTTTCAATCTTAAATCCATTTGCCAAGTAATTTTGATCTTATAGGAAGTAAAGAAATTGGTCTGTATGATAAAATTTCGTTAGGTGGATTTGTCTGGCTTTGAAATTATTACGGCATCTGTTATTTTCTAGAGCTTAGGTATATACCTCAATCTAAGTGATGCATTAATTAGATGCGTTCACGGTTCATTCCAGTCATAATGTTCTTCTTTAACATTTGCTGAAATGTTATTTCTGAATGCTCTGAAAATCTAGAGGTTTTTTGGAGGTTTCTACGTTTCCAAGTTTATTTTGCATTTATAATAATTGGCGGGTTTGGAAGTATGAGCCTTTTAAATCTCTTATAAGCTTTCCAGATTGAAGTTCACCAATTGACTCTTGTCAGTTCCGTTGCAGTTTCTGACAAAGTCGTTTTCGGCGCTTGGGATTGTACAGCCATACTGGACCGCCTCTCTCAAAATGTGTCCCTGTGGCATGCATGTCAATTCTTGCTTTTGCTTTATCGCTATTAACTTGCCGAGCAAATTCGTATACCTTCACTAATCCTTCTCTTAAGTTCTGTATGTACGTGGGAGGTGTACGGCCCTCTTCTTCACCAGAAGGCTGCCTTCCAAAAAGAAGATCATAGGAAAGTTTCATCTCTCTTCCAGTAATCATCATGGATGGAGAATAACTGGTCGTTTCATGTTCAGCACTTCGGTAGTCTAGCTGAAATAGAGGAATTAAAGTGTCCCAGTCCTTTTGATTATCAGATACGAACATTGAAAGCTACTGGCATATCGTTCTATCTTTCTACCATTCCGTCGGACTGTGGGTGGAGAGGCGTAGTGCGTGTTTTTTTTATGCCTAACAGTTTCATCAATTCTTGCCATAATAAGGATTCAAAATTTCTTCCTTGGTCAGAATATAATTCCAGGGGGACTCAGTGTCTTGCAATGATGTTCGTCATAAATGCTTCCGCTACTGTTGTCGCTTCTTGATTAGGAATAGGCACTATTTCGGGCCACTTTGGAAAATAGTCCATAACAATCATCAAGTATTTGTTTCCCCTTTCTGTAAAGGGAAATGGCCCGAGGATATCTATGGCGATTCGTTCAAAAGGCTCTCTGGAAAGCTACTGTGTCATTTTACCCCGACTTCTTGTTTTGGGTCCTATTCTGCCATTACTAAGGTCACATTTCTTACACCAATCTTCTACATCTCGTCGGCAATTGACCCAATAAAATCTTTCCCGAACTCGTGCAAGGGTCCTTTTAGTACCAAAGTGTCCTCCTGAACGGCTGCTATGAAGCTCCTTGTGAAGATACAGGGAATCCCACTGAGTCCAGTACCCTTTAATGGTTCCACTATATTTGGCTATCTCTTGCCATGTAGGTTTGACTCCATTTCTGAGCCATTCTCCGACAACCTTCAAGTCATTGTCTTTCTTTTGAGTCTTTCTTAGGCTTTCAAGGGTGATTCCGTCTTCGTCATCCTCTGGCTTGATAGTGGTCGCCTGAAGACTAACTTCTTCAACCAGCTCCTCCCGTTTTTCAATCCTTTTACAGTACCGGCATTGTGGTTGTAGACACGGTCGTCTGGAAAGAATATCTGCGTTGCTCTGGAGACGTCCCCTTCGATGCACTATCTCGAAGTTGTAGATAGTGCAGTCTTTCTATCCATCTAGCAACTTGTTCTTCAGGTTTTTTAAAATTCGTCAGCCACTGCAAGGCGCTATGGTCACGTCTAATAATAAAACTTCTGTTAAAAAGTGTGGAAGTATTCGAGGGCTTTGACAATAGCTAAAAGTTCTTTTCTTGTGACACAATAATTCTTCTCAGCTTTTCCTAAGGTCTTACTAAAATACGCAATTACTTTCTTAATATATTTTAATGTTTACATTGACTGATATTGCTTGTATATAGTCTGTTTGGTAATTCTTTTTCTGGTAATGATTTATAGATTCCTTTATTATAGCGGCACTTTCTCTTCTTGTGTTATCCGGATGTATAGTGTTATATATTCTGCATCCTTTAAATTTGAAGTATGACTCTCTAGTGAAATGCGTTTCAGAGATAAGATACACATCTATTTGTTCTAAGTCTAGGACTGTGTGCAGCTCTTATTGGTGTTGTAATTGTTAACTGGTATTCAATTATAAAATTCAAATGATATCAGTCATTTATAATTTATTGAATTTCTCCAAAATTTATTGAAGTATGTCTTCAGTGGATGAATCAGTTTATTTTGGTTTTTTCATTGCTGTTTTTCGGTTATCTCACTTAGTATCTGCGAATGTTTCTTTTTGTTCATCAGTTTTATTTTTGGAATTAAAGGTGGGTTATTATGCCCTTTGTGGTTGTTTAGGCAAACTTGTTTTCTTGGTTTGTTCCTCTTTGATTTTTTGCATCATGCATCTTCTATAATTTGCTGGCTGATTCTCTTCGCAGTGTACACATTCAGGAAGAGCATTTCTTAGTTTATTGCATTCTGCTGTAATGAGTTTTCCTGTTAACAACATTTTTAAAACTCTATCAGCATATTTTATTACCAATATTGCAAAGTTAACGTTTATTACCTTATTTTGGGTTACAATTTTGGGTTACAGTTTCGGGAAATGTACCATTTCTTATTTTGTTGTAATTGAAATAATCTTAGAGGTAGTAAAAAGTACTTTATAACCATCGTTATTGTGTCACCAATAATAAGAGGCTTACACAATATATTTTTCTTGCGATGATGGAGCGTTCCTATAATCGATTAAGTAAATAGACGAGTAGAGGAGTGGACGTAGAAGCCGATCCAACCTAGAATTGGACGATGTCATAAAAATACGTATATTTAAAATGCACATCTAAAAAACAAATTTGATTTTTTTTTACTTGCCCAATAAAGCCAGAAATTTGGCGATCTGTACATTTTACCCTTCCCTGTATATTATGTAAATGAAATCACATATTGTATTTCCATTTTAAAATGCTAAACCGTAACCAAAAAAACTTCCTACCTGTCGAAACTTTTTAATAATTTTAAATATTGTTAAAACCAAACCGACAAATTCGACTAAAATGCGATATAGCGTCCGACCTTCTATATAAAATGATAATTTAATGAATATACGTTAAAAATATCAATAAAATAAAGTGATTGTTGCATCAGCCAAACTCTCTATGGATCCTTTTATATTATATATATTTTGCATAAAAATATAAATCTATAAAAAGTACGTGGTGTTTCGTAAAATTTATGTAATTTTAAATTATAATTCTTTCTTTGCCTGATGATAAACCCCTAGAGGACGAAACTTGTCACCACATTTAACTTTGTTTACCGTAGTACATTTTGTAGTAAGTTTTTTTTCCATAAATTCTCTAACTCAATTAAATAATGTTTTAATAAATTGGTTATCTCAAATAATTAATGTTTTAGCAGGTGTCAAAGATCGTATCTTAGCAAGATATGAATTGTTATATTCAAATGTGCAAGTATTTTTTTATTTTTATCGAATAACTGATACCAAAATTAATATAAGTACGTTCTTATAAATATGTATACCAATGAATCTTATAATAATGTACTGTTCAAAAAGCTTAGTACACAGATTTGATGTCCCTGTATCGAATACATTTTATCTGGTGGTTAGCTATGTACGAATATATGATAATAATCAAATGGTGTAAAAAGGTATTGGGATAAGAATTACGTATGCCAAGTTTTAGCTATCTAGCTTGTTTTTTCTAGTACCTGGCACTAATTTTGTCAAAATTGACAAGAGTAAAGTACCCCTTGGAGCCGATGGGGGGAAAAATGTTCTCACCTGGAAAAAAGGTTTTGGGTTAATTATTACGTGTACGAAGTCACAGCAATTTACCGCTTTTTTTCTAGTACCTGGCACTGATTTTGTCAAAATTGACAAGAGTAAAGTACCCCTTGGAGGCGATGGGGGGAAAATTATTTCACCTGGCAAAAAGGTATTGGGATAAGAATTATGTGTGCGAAGTTTAAGCAATCTAGCGTGTTTTTTCTAGTACCTGGCACTAATGTTGTCAAAATTGACAAGATTAAAGTACCCCTTGAAGGCAATGGGGGAAAAATGGTTTTACCTGTTAAAAAGGTTTTGGGTTACGTATTACGTGTACGAAGTCACAGCAATTTAGCGCGTTTTTTTCTAGTACCTGGCACTAATTTTGTCAAAATTGACAAGAGTACAGTACCCCTTGGAGGCGATGGAGGGAAAAATGGTTTCACCTGGCAAAAAGGTATTGGGAAGTATATTAATTGTCAGAAATATTATCTCCCAACTATTACTCGTTTAGTACCTGGCAGCGGTCAAATTCCAATCCGCAAATTAGACATACCCGTGCCAACAAGATCAGATAATGTTGCTTCAACTTTTTAATGGTACCAATTTCCAAGACGATACTGACAAGATCAGATGCTTCAGGATTGGAGGATACCTGTACCTTATTTTCCCTCTCTTCGGACCTGTATATTTTGAGTTACCTCATATTTCTTAGAGAGAATCTCAGTTGCTTGATTTTCCCTTCATTTAAAAGCAGGTATCCTGATTTTTCAAATGTTTTTGTCCAATATGTAAACCTTAAGTCACCTTACATCAATAAAGGTATTTCCATTTCAAATCCATCATGCACGTCAACAATTTAAAGGATATCTATCACCCGACCTTGACTACTATGGTTATTGATTTACTGATACAATAATTTCCCTCATTTTTTTAAACCATTCACGTAGGTAACTTAAATAATTCAATAATTCTGATTCTGATTCAAGTAGATGTATAAATAAACGTCCAATTTTAAGACCGACAACCCATAAACTTTGCTGAACATTAAAATTTAAATACTTACAGTTTAAAATTTAAATCACTACACGAATCACTAGCGAGCCTATTTGAGAAGTTAAACAAAATGAACGTACCGCGTTCCTTCACCAAAAATCGAAAGATGAACAGCCAAAGCCGAGGGTAATCGAAGCACTGAAAATTGAACGCGAAAACACAACAACTTTGAATAATTTATATCTGTCTTCTCGTAGGGATTTTATAGGCCGGGAGCCAACAACATATTTTCAAAATAGATTAGAATTGAACAATTTTATATTTTTTTTTAATGATATTTTTTGATTTATTTATTTATTTATTTGGGGCATAAACAGGAAAACCCAAGACAGGTTCCACGAAAAATATATAAAAGAAACTTGATTAATAAAAAAAATTAAAAAAGACAACTGTGCTACAAATTCGTGATGTAAGGTATACGAGTATTATATTACATTACTAGTGTGGAAAGTGACATTTTTCACACGAGTGGGAAATATTGTCATACGAGGAATAAGCCGAGTGTGACAATTACGCTAGTTTGAAAAATCACTTTCACATTAGTGATATACGACCACAAATTAATTTTATTTAAATTTAAGGGGCTTAAGTAGGGTTGAGGGCGGTTAAGGGGGTTAAGAGGGGTTAAAATATTAAAAGAAATATGTATCGAAAACGAAAAATGATATCAATTTGAAATTTTTGATAAAAATTAAGCTCTATAAGGGCATAATTGATTTTGAAAATAATCTTATTAAAAATGGTGGGTAAAGGGAGTAAAGGGGGTAAAGGGGGTAAAGGGGGCTAATGGGGTCAATGGGGGTTAATAAGAGCTGCGGGAGGTTAAGGGAGACTAAGGCGGACTAAGGGGGATTAAGGGGACCAAAGTAGGTTAATGGGGGCTAATGGTGGTTAATGGGGTTAAGGGGGGTTAATGGGGGTTGATAGGGGTTAATAGAGGTTAAGGGGGTTAAGGGGGACTAAAGAGGGGTTAAGGGGGGTTAAGGGGGGTTAATGGGGGGTAAGGGGGGTTAAGGGGGCTAAGGGGTGTTAAGTAGTGTTAAGGGAGGTTAAGGGGTTGAAATTAAAACAAAAGTCCGGTAGAGATGCCAACCTTTTTTAAATGTTTAAACAAAAATTATTTTTCGTTATATTTATTTAAATTTATTAATGTTAACACCAAACAACATAACTAAAAGATACATTAGAGTAAAAAATGATAATTCTTATATATTGTCTGGGTGAGATGCCCATCTGTGGCGGTACAGATGCCAATGATTATAACTGTCTACTTTTTTATAGTTGACAGCTTTCCACATCGCTGGCAAATGTTCCTGAAAAAAAGGGTCTCCAGCCAAAAGTGCGAAACTGCTAAACGGGTAGTTACAACAGAGAAAGTAACATGGGCAATACGCACCTTCAATCCATACAAATAACCGGGACCAGATGGGGTATTGCCTGTGCTTTTGCAACAGGCAATAGAAACGCTGGCCCCGCATATTTGTAGGCTCTTCAGGGCAAGTTTGGTGCATAAACATGTACCAAATACCTGGAAACAAAGCAGAGTTGTCTTCATACCTAAACAGACCAATAACTCTGACGTCATTTCTATTTAAAGGATTGGAAAACTGGCAAACTACTCTGATAGAGAAGCCATTTCATACAAACCAACATGCCTATCAATCAGGAAAATCTTGTGAGTCTGCTCTGCATCATCTTGAGGGAGGACTTAGTAGCCAAGAATTAGTCCTAGGAGCATTTCTTGACATAGAATGAGCTTTTGATAATACCTCCTTCAAATCAATGGTAGCTGCCGCTCGCAAACATGAAATAGAAGACACCATCTGCTAGTGGATAGAAGACATGTTTTGTGGACGGCAAGTACAGGTACAAATGTTCAGTGAAACCATGCAGGTGAATATCCACAGGGGAGTCAGGGAACTAAAACTAACAAGCAAACAGGCTCTGGATTACATGCAGTTAAACCCAAATGCGATATCATTGCCTCACTGGGAAAACGTACTACTGTATTTTAGGCTGAAATACATGCAATCGAATTGTGTGTACGAAATAATTTAAGAGGGAAGTACAAAAACAAACCATCTTAATTCTTATCTTAATTCTAGCAGCCTTAAAGGCTTTTGATTCAAACAGAATCAAGTCAAAGCTTGTCTGGAACTCAGCTTTAAAGGCTCTTGATTCAAGCAGAATCAAGTCAAAGCTTGTCTGGAACTGCCTTGGAGTACTAAATGATCGGCAACCCACAATAAGATAAAAATAGCGTATGTACCAGGGCACAAAGATATTTAAGAAAATGAAAAGGCCGACGAACTCGCCAAAGGGGGATCAGAACTACCATTTATAGGTCCCGAACCTGTATTTGGGATAAGCAAAACGTCTTCTGCTCGACAGAGAGTTAACAGGTGGATAACCACAAAACATCAAATTCACTGGCAACAGACAAGAGGGCACGGAATAATTAAGCTCACGTTAAGGGGACCAAACCCACGCATGGAATTACTAAAGGGACACTGCTTGCTGAAAGACCTTCATGTGATGGGATTACACAATGATTCCACTACGTGTAGACTCAACATGAAAGAGGATGAAACCTCATACAATGTGATCTTCGACTGCGCAGCTCTTACTAGGCGGCGTCTCATCCTTTTCGGCCTAGAACCGAACGCCCCAGGAACACTGTAGGGAACTTATTAAAACTAACCAAAGACACATGACTATTCCAAAAATAGTACCTGAGGGGAAAGCAGGGGAATACAATAGACCCAAGAGGCCGCTGTGTTCTGTGCCAAACCCACATACTTACGGTGCAAGAGAGAGGCCCGACACGCCCAACATAGGGCGCGGCCATTTTGATTCCTATGCCACAGTTTATAGCTAAAGAATCAGATCGCTCTTTTGATCTCAATGTTCTAGTTTATACACTGCGCAACTCGGATAATACACTATATGACAACCGCCTATAATAAAACAGCAGTCTTCTGCGTATCCTGAATTTGTATCCCGGGAGTGAATATTATTTTGGAACTTTCAACTGGTCCGAGTGAGCTAACTGATTCTCTAGCAATAAACTGTGACTCCAAAAATAATATTCACTGACACTGACAGCAAGCAAGCAAAATATCAGATGCGTTTTAATCATCCGCTTCTGCTTCCGGAATTTTCGGTTTAGTCGTTTTAACCTGTCAGATTAAAACAAGAAAACCGACAATTCCGAAGCAGAAGCGGATGATTAAAACGCACCTATTAAAAATATTGTGCCAATATGTAGGCAACACGTAATAAGGGATCAAAATGACGGAGTTTTCTCCTTTTAAAAGGCACTCAGAAAGCTGCGCAGTGCGACCATTGTAATAATGTTGAAAATCACAGCATTTTTTAAAAGATAATGAAATGACCTTTTAAATGAGATGTCACAAGCTCCTATTTCCTATTTACAAATTTGAGGGTTCCAACTGTCATTCGAAGGTTAAAAGTTGCAGTATTTCATTTTATAATAAAAAATTGACGTTTTTTGGTATTTTTTTATAAATATGAAGAGTAAATACGTCACCAATTAAAAAAAAATTAATTTACAAAAAAGTAATACAAACATACTGTATATGAGCCTGTTTACGTTCTATAAACATTTATAAGGTAACTCGCTAGCGCTTATGTGAACCTCCATAAACAGGCCTGCATGAATTTACACGAGCCGATAATAATAATAATAATAATAATACTCTCCCTAATTCACCCCCTTACGAGTGAATTTCAACCCCTGAAGTCGACTAAACGACTTGTGTAGGGGAAGGGACGGCTATTATTATTATTTGCCGTGGCGCTCCGGGGCGACTTATAGATGATTGATGGTGCCATTTGACTTACAGGTGAGGAAAACCCGGAAAACCTCACCCACCATCATCGAGACGGTAATGTATGGCGATTTTTTTTTATCTGCATGTCATATCAACAGAAATTTAATTTCTATTAATACGCCACACATCAAATCCTAAACCGAACCATGCAATTTAATTAAAAATCCACATGGTCTGGTCTGGGATTCGAAACCCAGCAGTCTCAGACTCATAAACTTGCCTATAAATGAATATAAGCGCGATAGACCGCTACACCACCGTCCCGATGCGAATCTTCACAATTTTTCGTGAGCGTACAAGTCTTTAGGTGAACTTGCACAATATGCTCATCTCCATAGGGCTTGTACGCTAATTGAAAAGAGTGTAGAAATCTACTTGAGCGAGCCTTCGCAAACCTTTGCTAATCTTCACAAGCTTAAGACCTAACATTTTAGCTAAGGTAATTGCTGAAACTTTTATCAACGTTTGTTTCATGATTTATAACTGTTTTGATTACTCATTAAAGTTGTGGTTACTAAGGACTCTTAAGGTATTACGACAGTCTTGTTTTTATGGCATTTATACCTCCATGATGACAGTCTTGATTTCTTATGAGTCTTCATTACTGATCACTGTTGTTGACAATCTTGATTATTTATGACAGTCTTCATTACATTACTTCGAAGAAATTTTCGTTTTTATTTTGATCTAAGACCCTGGACTATGGTTTCATTCAAGTAGTAATCACTTGTTTGTGAGCTTTCAGGCTTGTTTGATATCAACGCGAGGACGACCTACTATATATAGCCGACGTATCGTTATTTGTGATGAACACGTTGTTGGTCGTAGTAGTAGTTGTACACTAACGTACGTTTCCGTGATCGGGTGCGATGACCTTAGGCAGATCTTATTTTTTATGACGGCTAAAACGACGCTCAACAGGGTGGGTGATTATCATAGCAAAGATACGGATTTCTTGCCGAGGAGAAAATTTATACAGTGTAACCCATTTAAAATGGAAGCGCTTTGTGTAGTAATGTATGGATTAAATTAAAAAATACATATTTAGCATCATTTACAAAGAATCTAATGGTGAAAAGAGTTTTTGTTGGTTTAAATATTAAAAAAAGTAATTTTATTCTAACTTCTTTAATCTGAAACATATTTTTACGAAATTAAGCCATTTTAAGACCAATGGGAATCCAGTGGCGTGTTAATTTTTTTTTGTTTTGCTATTTTTTAACAGTGAAAAATAGTCAAAACAGGCATTGAAAATGTAGCTTAATTATTGA